AGTCCACTGTCTGATGCTGGGAATCATGACAACTATTATGGCAGACGACTTCGGACTAGGTGCGTTCTACCAAGTCGCTCTGACGACAAGACCAAGTTGCGACAACGAAGTCAACCCACTTCTATAAATCGAAAAGGGACTGCGACCATACCAGAGGCCACAACATCTTGGTTTTCATATCTTCAGGTGGGATTTATGTTGAAATCGGGCGAACCGCATCTCCGACTCGTCGATAGACGACCCCGATGGTCGTTCGGTCTCAAGCAAGTGCAACTCTTGACTTTGCCAGACGTGTCTAGTTCCCTTAGGTACCAATCGTTGTGCACGAAGCCTGATTGCGGTACAAAGGCTCGGCTGACCGGGTCGCTGAGGGGCGGCTTCAATTCTGTCCAACTCAGACATGTCTGCCTCAAGCATGCCTGACTTTATGGCTGATTCCGCCAAGCCTGGACGGCTTTGAAACTGCCCCGAAAGCCCTGTCCTCTTGGCTTTCCCACAAGAAGACTAAGAATGCCTCCAGTGCCACTTAAGCTTCATTTTTTCAAAACGCTACATGCGGCCATAGCCGTAATCCATTCCCCCACAGTACCGACTTTAGCCCTCCAACACACATACCCATTCTGGCCAGTTGAAAGTCAACTGTGATGATATTTTAAGCTACGTCTCTTGTTCGCTTTTTCCCTGGCCTTCTAGAATTTTTGCTTCTTCATCTCCCTGAATTGGTGTGAATCCCATTTGTTTCCCTACCTTATTTATATTCGTGTGCACCTTTTATTAATCTCAGCCATCCTTGCCGACCTATAAACATTAGCTCTTAACCACACAATTATACTTTTTATCCACCTCTTTCTCTCTCCAGGCCTATTCCTATCTGTCCGTCAGCCTGTACATCTTTCTGCTTGCACACAAGCGAGTGTGTGCAAAAATGCATAAATATGTGCACATACAGACATGAATATAGCCTCCATCACACACACACACACACACACACACACAGATTCACACATGCATACATATATATATATATATACACATGCAGATACAGGGAACAGCACGCATCTTTCTGGCTTTAGTCGCAGACTTCCACCTTTTCCATCAGAGCAACAGCAGGCCTGAATGCAGGTTCATCTTGATGGACATCCATGTAGGCATTCTCTAAACGGCCTCGGCCATGCGCTTGAACAAACGCCTTTGTTTAGATTGGTTAGAGTGACGAGTTTTTCTCCCGACAAGTGGCAAAAAATTCTAGCATACAAACGCAAAAAAGTGTTTTACATCTACAGGTCGCAATACACACTCACACACATGCTGGTGCGTCTACAGATGTGCATGTGTTTATGTGAGAGTACAGAACCATCCGGTATGCCAGACTATCATAGACTCTTCTGCCTACTTCAAGAGGCCCATATGTTTTTCTCCTTTTATCATCTGATAGGAGCCCCAAGGCATGATTCCTGTTATGGCGGCAAGATGGAAGTCCTTGTCTTTCCTCTTCGCCCCACGACCGGCCGCCCAACTCTCCTTGTAGTCACCTCCTCGGGCCACCACTCAGTTTACCGCCACAGATGGGCCAGCAGAAACGATAACTTGTCCCAACCGACTTTGCCTCAGTGCCAGGCAGCGATCAAAATAGGCCGGGATTGTTGAGCTCTCCGCAATGCCTGGTCAAGCAAACCCTCAGGCCCTGAAGCACCAAACCTAAAGACACTTGTAGCTCCAGTCATTTTACGCCAATAGTCATCGACATGTGTAGTCAACTGAACTACGTGTGTTCGTCTGTTGCTAGGCTTCAGGTTGTTTCTATGGCCACATTTGAAGAAGCTTACTTGGTGTCACTCATCGTCTAGTCTCGACGACACGCCTGCCTTTCTTGAAGACGAGGCTACAAGGATTTCTACAAGGTTTGCAAAAAGACTCACTATCCACACTTCTCATAGAAGCTGCATTAATTTTCCGAAATGGGGAGCAAATTACGGGCTTCTCCCATGATTTCAAGCTTGAGCTAAAAGAATCATCAAAGTGATGAAGCAAAAATGCGAAAATATAGGGAGAGAGACAGACAGACAGAAGAAGAGAAATAGACCGACCACTCTATGAAAATAGATGATGGCCTTAAGTATTCAATAAATGTTGAAATCATTATTTATTTCTCCTTAGTAAAGATGTACCGTGCAGCCAATAAAGGAAATTTCACAGTTTTTTGTTCAGTACTTCACAGGCGATTTTAAATGTTCTAGATTTTTGAGTGCGCACTTGTATTACTATAAGTAGGCACTATTTTTTGATTTTATCTCGTTTTGTATTCGTTTGTTTGTGACGTTGTGGTAAAATAAATATAGATTCATGCATATTATGAAACACTTCAAATTGCTAATTCTTTCTTCTCGTCTCTCGGCTCTCAGGCACCTCGTTGTCCGGTCTGCGTCATTCGACCAGTCGCTTGTCATCGGGTAAATCAGACGTCGAGTTGCCTCTTCCAGGTGGCCTATTGCAACACGAAGTCTCAAGTCCCGATGCAGGCACCGGAGACGATGCTGTCTCCAGTCTTCGAAACGCCTCACTTCGACTCATGGGTCTGGCAGGCAGAAGTCCAGCTCGAGGGTCGCCTTGGTCGCCTAAAAACGGTCATCCAAACGGCCTACCGCCTGCCATTCTGAAGAGTCCAGGACTGGAGGAAGAGCTGGAGGACGACGATCAAGAGGTGTACGATGGTGAGGAGGAGGAAGAAGAAGAAGGCGAACAGGACGGAGATGACGAAGGAGAAGAAGACGAAGAAGAAGAGGAGGAAGAGGAAAAAGGAGAGGCCATCGTTTCATACCCCAAGGGTATGGAGAGCAGACAGACGCCTATGCATCGAGACCGTCGACCTGAGATCCATTCGACGCGTAGACTGCCGAGACTGCAAAGCACGACATCTCGCTCCAGAGACCGTAGTTCTGCTGAGCATCATTCGACTGCTTCTTGCCTCAGCAACACGATGACCAATGCCGTAAAAGAGACTAGGCTGACAGGAGGAAGATCCGATTGCAATAGCCTCACTAACTGTAATGAAAGCGTCAACCTCTCTCCTTCTCCTTCGGCTACCATGGGAGCCGGCATCGGTATCGGCGGTAGCAACAGTGCCAGCAACGGAAAATCTCCTCATTTGCTTTTCACCCAGCCAGCGCCAAGTCCTTCTGTTGCGTCTCTACCACTTGCCGCAACGACTGTGTAGACAGAAGATAGGCACAAACACATATACACACATGCACACATGTGCACATGTGTGCCCGTATTCGTAGCCTTTCACCGCCTATGCCATTTTATTCACCTCCGCTGGATGTGGTCGTGTTAATGGAATGATCTTCTCAGAGGTCCCCGTCTGAACCTCGAAATTACATGTTCCAGACATTTGGCTCTCATAAATTTTACCCAATTTTGCTCGCCAGTAATTTGCAAAGCACACATTGTCTTGCGGTACATTTGTCTCCAACCTGCCTGCAGCCTGGGATGAGCCGCTTAGATATTTGAATGAGGCTGAAAATACTGACCGCCCACCCTCTACTCGAGCCAGTAGTCCATCTCTCGTCATACTTCAAGCACATGCTGCGCCGTAACCTTCTCTTGCTCTGTTCAACTCTTGTGCATCCGCTTCGCAAATGCGCCGAAATTTCACAAACTGTGGCATGTATGAAGAACCTGATATTAACCGAATTCTCGTCATCCTTTTCCCTGCCTCTACTTGAGCACTTTCCACTGCGGAAATGGTCCTCGAAGGTTGAACCCAGTATGCTCCTTAAATGGTATATTTATG